AGATTTAGTGGGTTCAAGTGCCAGAACAGATTAGCGATGGACTACGTTTATCCAGACCTTTCCTGGGTTTTAGGCCTGCTTAAAATATGGATTTGCAGGTCTTTCTGGCATCTGAATACTGCTGGTTCTTACTGAAATGAAGAACTAAATATTTTAGACGCAAGTATCCCTATCATTGCTATAAGAATAATCCCATATTATTCATCAATCCCATATATTATAATGGCAATCTTTCCATTATACATTAGTCAGTTTCAAATTTCACCCAAATGTGGATAACTACATAGCTTCCTATTAATGCAAAACAGCATTGTAAATCCAGCAAAAATATTATACATATTAATTATTTCCTGGACATTATATACCATTCTTCTAAGTACATGCAGACAGGTGCTCACTAAACCTCAGAGAAATTAGACATTATCTCTGAAAACGACTATTACTGTACTCTTACTATTAAGTCCAATTTTCTGGCATTTGCTTCTAATGTCCACTGGAGGGCGCTCACTTCCGGCCTTAAGGCAGAGATGGCTACTATAGCTACAGCTATCTGAGAGAAAATGAAAAAGAATAATGTCTTCCATTGAATGTACTTCTGGAATTAGGACTTAGGGACGAATAAGCACTCAGGTTCCAGAACAGTGGTGGAGCTGGGGAGTTTTACACTGTGAGTTTTAATAATTTTATGCAGGTAGACCTTTTAAATCAACATTGTGCAATCTGTAAACTTCTAGATTTTCTAAACTACAAGTTCCAGCATTCTTCAAAACTGGTTCTTCTAATTGAGCCTGCTGGTATTTGGCTCATCTGGTATGCCCTAAGTTGCCCATCCCTACAGGATGATTAAGGGTAATATTTAATTGACTTTGAAATGTGGTCAGCCCAACCTATTTATGATAGGACTTCTTTCACCTTCTGGATTTCTACTCTTCTACCATAATGGCACCACTACCTAACCAAGAATTCTTCATCACTTGATCACCATCTGTCTTTGTGCCAAAAGCAGGACTAGAATTCATCAACTCTAGGTTTCTAGCCTGGTGTTTAACCACCACACCAAATTGGCTCTCATGGATGTCTAATACCAGAGAGATAGAACAGATGGAAATCTGGGAAGGTTTGACCTCAACAGCACAATTGTGTTCTAAATATATGCATAGTTTTCAGCATAAAGGAAATAAGAAAACTCTGCTGGATATACATTCATTCAGTAATTATCTGTAGTTATATACATCTATGCAAATCAGAATGATAACATTTCTAAAGGTTGCGGAGAGTCCCAAAACCAATATTTTAAAACCTGAAGAAGGGGGGATGTATAATCCATTGTTGTATACCTACCGCTCTAGATCAACCTACAAATTCAACCATTTTTACACATACACACACACACATATGGAATATATGGCAATTCGAATCCCTAGCGCTGCGTGACGGTGAGCTCCCGTTACTTGTCCCAGCTTCTGCCAACCTTAACAGTTTGAAAGCATGTAAAAATGCAAGTAGAAAAATAGAGACCACCTTGGTGGGAAGGTAACAGCGTTCTGTGCACCTTTGGCATTTAGTCATGTCGGCCACATGACCATGGAATTGTCATCAGACAGCGCTGGCTCTTTGGCTTAGAAACAGAGATGAGCACTGCTCCCTAGAGTCAGGAACGACTAGCACGTATGTGCGAAGGGAACCTTTACCTTTACCATACACACACATACATATATATCCCCTCTCTCCCAGAGAATCTGAGTCACCTATTCACTTTCCAGCAGGTTCTGTTCCAAAGTGGCTTCTCATATTGAGAACTGCTTTATACAAAGTTCCCTTCTCTTCCACAGACACAGACACATTCCATAGACACCTAGGCCCCAATGGCTGGACGTCTTCATAATGAAACGTTTTCATGAGATTTAAATAGCACCCACTAGATTCTAATCTGGTTTATTGAGAGCTATCCCCACTCCTGGCTGGATACTGAGTCCACGTAAAGCCATGGCAAACATGGAAGGTTTAGGTCTAAACATACCAAAGAATAAACTCACAATTTTACCTATTTGCTATCAAGCAAGTGTTCCTCTGAATATACATAGATATTTTTATGATACCTTAACCCTTCATACAGAAGGGTATCTACAGCATGAATTGGTACCCTGCCTTAAGCAGGGTACCAATTTCCCAAGCATCTTTAATAATATACACTACAACGTCACATTTGCATGTGCTGAAGTGAAATAGATAGCACCCAAGAGTTGCCTTCTGAACCACACCTGGCATCTTGAATTTATAGAGGCACTTGGCTGTAAGCTTCCCCACCTTCCTCAGTCAGTAATCACTTGCAATTGCTGCAAGACCAATTTGATGACTCATTTTGGAAGCCTGTGAAATTTTTAGCTGTAGCAGTGGCCATCAAAAGCTATTGGGGTCTGTCCTACAACTACGTTTGGAGACTCAGTGCTCTATTTTGTTGCAGTTTGTTTTATCTTGGCTGCTATTATCAGTCCCTGAATAGGAGTTTGCTTGCCATTGCAATCCTTACTAGAACCTGTGGGGTTTGATTCATCAATAGCATGCTTGATTTCTAATATGTCTATGCATACATACATACATACATAATTCATCTATGAATGTGCAGCCAATAAATAAAGGAACACAGAAATTATGCAGCTCACTTTCCCCAAAGATTTCCTTTATGTGTGGTAAAATCCACTTGTAATCTTGCATGTTGGTCAAATGGCTTGTTATCGCTATAACGGCATATTTTAACCTGTAACTAAAATCTTTTCATAGCTGTAGCTGTCCAAAGTCGTTATGGTTTCTCAAGGAGAAAATTGTTAATATTGATAGTTGTTAGTATTTGGTGGTGCATTCTGATGTCTTATGTTACATTGTTTTTATCCATATATGTAGTTTGGAGTTGGAAGTTACTCAGTGTCACATTCAATTGAATACAACGCAGGGTAAAAAAATAAAAAATAAACAACTATGAAATTTAAAGTAAACTCTTAAATTTGCCTTTCTGCCAATCCCTTTAGCCTTGTATAACCTTCTTCTCATATAGCCTTGCTACCCTAAATTACTGTTAGTGTGTTATTTAAGATAATTCTCCCTGCCCATTCCATTCCATCATGCTAAATGGCATTAGGTCTCATTAATTTAAATAGGAGTCACTATGTCTGTATGATGTACTTCAATTTTCTTTTAGTCTTTTCATGAAGACTGAAAATTGCATTTTATGGCCAAGGTTGCAAGTTCTTCACACAGTTACCAAACCAGGGTTTAAAAAGTGGGAGAAAATCATGATACTTAAAATGGTGTGTGTGTGTATCTTTAATTGAATCTGTGTCAGTGGTTTTCACTTCCTACTCCAGAAAATGCAACTGTCAATGAAAAGCATGTTGAAATTATCACTAACAAGTTGCACTGTTGTTATTGTTGTTCCCCCTTCACCCAAAAATGATTGAATTTAGCAATGCATCCCCCTAATCTCTCAGATTCTGTGGTCTGTCTAACATAAAATACATGCTGTACTTTTTTGGTGCCAAGGAAAAATACTTAGGTCCTTATTATGTGATAGATAGAGTGGGAGACCAAGCACAACATAACGTCATTGGCAGAAATGAAATCACATATGTGGTAGAAATAATAGTGTAACAATAGCCACATAGGTAAATACATTACATCAGAAGGCCAGAGGGGTTGGTCAGAGTTGGGAGAATGTCCTCAGGCAATCAAGCAAGCCAAAACAGGATTCTCAATTACTGGGAAGCCTTCACTGGAAACATCCTCTCCTTGGCAACCACCCTTCACCCACCACAGTTCATAGGGACATTCAGAGAAGAGTCTCAGATGAAGAATCTAGTGTGCATACAGACAGGATCCCTGTAGACTGGTATAATGTGATTCTAATGCCTCATCTCAACAATCTATTAGCTGTATCTTCATTTTCTAAATAGTCTTCAAAAACAATCCATACATGGTGCCTTCCGGCATCCCCTCCAAACTTATGGGACTAGAGATAACTGAAGCTGGACAATCTTGACCAGAATAGGACACTAGCTGATATGTACTAGTAAAGGACCTTCCATGGATCACTTGTTGCTCCACTCATTTCAACATAATATATACCTACTTTGTTCTCTACTGACTTTACTGATTTTAGGTTGGTTTTATGCTGATTAGGCTAGGCAGTTAGATATTACTGTAGTTCATTGCTCTTGAAAATTGTATTTCAAATTTACTTACCCATGGCTGAAAGCTGTTGAGAAATTCTATTTCAATTCCCACTTAAATCGCCCACCTAAACACAAGCAACTTTTTAGGACTCTGAAAGGTCCAGAGCATTCATTGGAGAACCTGGCCCATCCCAAATCTTCTTTCCTCTGCATCAAATGTTAATGTGATTTTCCTTCTTTCCCTTACTGAAGTCAATAGTCCATCCAACCTTGCATCCTTTCCTGTGCAAGGAAATTGAAGTATTGAAATAAGTCTTGGAATTATATTTTCATTGTTATTTTTATATCCTTAAAGGAAAGATATTGATCCATCTAAACATTTCACATCCTTTGAATGTGATTCCCTCTACATGTGGAGTCCAACATAATTACTTCTCTTGTCCAACCCAACATAGTTTCATAAACCTCATGTTTTTAAAATCAATTTGTTTTATTTTTAATTGCCTTTTCCTTCAAATGTAGGAAATTTCTTAATTTCTTACGGTCTTAAATAACCGTAAGAAATAGACTCCATTAGATTTGTTATCTTCTTTCACATAATTAGACTATAGTATCTGGCTTCATTCTTCCAGCTTGAATATAACTGCAGTACCTTTGCCTTCATCTTAAACTACCTGATTCATCTATCCCTTCTTTTACAAGCCATTGTCATTTGCCAGTACAAAGTAACAATATTCTTTATGTTGTAGGTATAGGCATAAGCAGGGGTGAAATGTTCCCGGTTCGGACCCAATCGGGCAATCCGGTAGCGATCGTGGCGGCATGCACAGAAGGTTTTGTGCATGCGCAGAAGGTCGGCGCGTGCCCTTCCGAACCAGTAAGGAAGGTAAATAGATTTCACCCCGGGCATAAGTCACTAAATGTTGAAAAGAAGTCCTACAAGTGGGAAAATATGTCAAGAGAGAAAAGCTGTACCCCACTTCCCTTCATTACCCTCCACAAATAAATGTTGTATCACCACAATTCATACATCTCCATAAACTATATTTATGGAATAATTCTCCAAAATAATTCGGTGTCCTCCACAGATATTTTGGACATCCACTCCCATCAGCCTCTATTCGCACAACTATATTGAAAACTATGAGAGCTGAAGTCCAAATTGCCTGGAGGGACACATTATTGTTCCTGCTATGTCCATATTGACATGTACATACAACAGTCAGCCCTACCTTCCCAAGGCATATTTTACAAATGGGGTTAAATTGTGGATACCTAACCACACTGCTTAGCCATGATTTCTTGCTGGCTTTCCACACATATAACACATAGATAATGTTATTTCTGCTTGAAACATATATTCAATGCCTAAGTTAACATTTCCATGGCTCACCCAGATAGCTATAGGACCAGCCACTATTAAAATCATTTCTGCCACATTGGACTTTATTGTTTCTGTTGCGGTTAACACTCTGCAAATATGCAGAGAATTGATTTATCAAAACAAAGGGGCTTTAAGGAGAAGGTTAGTCTCTCTTTCTCTCTGCTCCATCTTGTTATAACGGGGCCCTCAACATGCCTAAAGGGAAGGGCACATAGCTTGTTTGTACTGGTCTGTGCACGTATATGTTCGTGCATATCTCTATCACTGTAGCTATATTGGGAGAAATAAAATGTGTTGATAGCCAGGGGAAAGTCGCAAATAAAGCGATTCTTTCCCATGGTGCGTTAGTAATTTATATTGGCTCACAACCTTTTAAGAATAACCACCCAAGCAAGTTGGCACAACTTGAGAAACAGCTGATAGCCTATTGCCCTTTTGCATTTTAAAGTGGGATCACTATGTACTAAGAGAACTAGACCGTGATTACCCATTAATCATGCTTTAAAAGCATCACCAATGAGGCCCCCTCCCTCCAATCAGTAAGAAAGAGGCTTAGTGAACCAAGCTTTTCCGCCTTCGAGAAAGATAATATACTGAAAAGACTGAGGGTTATCGGAATCCAGGGGAACCATCTTAATTGTCAGCATTTGAAGGTTTGCATATTGAATTTAATTTAGATTCTACGATGCTTACATCATAAACCATTATTGATATAAATTGTGTTAATCATATAATTATTGTTTTGAGGCAGAGGATTGGAGAGTGGAAGAAGTGTCTGCAGAGAGCCAAAGCTGGTGACAGTGAACAGCCAGGATGCAGAGTTGGTTGTCCTTGTATAAATGTGCCAGTCACATAGCTCCTCCTGTTTTTTTAAAGCTGAGGAAGACCTGCCATGGAGACTTCTCAGCTTCCTGCAATGCAAATGGAAGTAACTGTACAGACAGGGACTCCTGTTTCCCATCAGCTTTTTTTTTTTTTTAATGAAGTAGATGTACATTCCTGAAATCAGTGATTTATGAAAAATGTGCCTTCTTCTCAAAATCAGACCGGTTCAGATTTGGCTATGTAGCAGGATGGAATCTTTCTCTGTCTTACCTGAAAACAGTGGGGTTTGAATATGGGCAGGGGTGGGCTTCAAAAATTTTAGCAAGGGGTTCTCTGCCAGGTTGCTTGGTGAGTGTGGCCATGGTGAGCATGGCCTAGTTGGCCTCTTGCACCACACCGGGGGGGGGGGTGGATTCACCCTCCCGGGCTCCGGAGACTTACCTCAAGCCTCCAGGAGGGTGAAAACGGCCTCCCCAGGCTCCGGAGGCCCTCTGGAGGCTGGAAACAGGCCCATTTTCGGCCTTCCTGAACTTCCGGTAAGCCCATTTTTCGCCCTCCCCAAGCCTCCATGCATGCCCTGCACTTACCTGCATCCAAAACGGGCCACGTCGGGACTCCTGGGAGGGATGGGATGGGCGGAGCCAGCCAGGAGTGAGATTTGGGGGTTCTCCAAACTGCACAGAATCTTAGCTAGAGGTTCTCCCGAGCCCCTGCGAGCCCTCAGCAGCCCACCCCTGAACATGGTCCATTTTGCACATCAGCCAAGTTTTGCCACTCAACTCATTAAGATGTGGCACTGAAGATTGGTGGCTCCATCGGAGTAATTTTTCTTGAAATGATTTCTTTTTAAAAAAACAAAAATCACTATTCGATTATGGAAAGGTTATCACTTTTACTAGTTAAAATATAGCAAATAGTCTTATCTAACACAGGGCAGGTCCAATGAATAAATGAGACTGGCATGTTTTCCCATCGATTCCAGAAGGCCGGTCCCATTTAGGGATTGGTTGCCAGGATAAAACAGGCTAAAGATGTTAGACATATATTAATTTCATAAATGAATTCCAGACCACAGATATGATTCTGCTGCACCTCAGGCCAAGGATATAGATTAATAACCAGGCTTCTTCAGGCACTTGTCTGCAGCCATGCTGAAATTAAGTCTCAGACAGAGGCAGCAGCTGCCAAAGCTGGGGAGGGGGGGACTAAGATCACACACAGCCAGTCAAAGACAATTGATGCTCAACTTGATTGGGACTGATAATCTCTCTGGTCTGACCAGCTGCCTTCTTCTTACAAAAGTAGAAAAAACAGCAAGGGAGAACCCTTTGCTACAGTAGTTTGGAAACTATAAGAGTAACTCATTCAATTTCTGAAATATTAGCACCCCAACCTATATCCTGCTATTCCTAAATAGTTACTGAATCCATGTACTTCTTCCCAGATCAGCATGTATAACACTGTTCTGCAATCTGGTGCCTAGAAATGACTCTGATTCAGTGATGAAATTTTTATACTACCGGTTCTGTGGGCATGGCTTGGTGGACATGGTGTGGCTTGGTGGGCGTGGTTTGGTGGGCATGGCAGGAGAAGGATCCTGCAAAATCTCCATTCCCACCCCACTCCAGGGGAAGGATATTGCAAAATCTCCATTTCCACCCCACTCCAGGGGAACGATATATCTTTTAATTGTTTTTAATATTTGTTCTGCATGTTTTTTAATCTGGCTGTACACCGCCCTGAGTCCTCAGGGAGAAGGGCGGTATAGAAATCCAATATAAAATAAAATAAAATAAATAAAAAATCCCCATTCCCTCCCCACTCGGGGAAGGATATTGCAAAATCTCCATTCCTAACCCACTCTGGAGCCAGCCAGAGGTGGTATTTGCCAGTTCTCCGAACTACTCAAAATGTCCGCTACCAGTTCTCCAAACTGCTCAAGATTCCTGCTATCAGTTCTCCAGAACCTGTCAGAACCTGCTGGATTTCGCCCCTGCTCTGATTCTAGGCAAGTTGCAATTTCAGCCTTAGCAAACCAAGAAGGACCTGTGTTTGTAATATGATTTGCTTAGGTCACTTCTGTTGTCTGACTTCCCCCATTCCCTTAATCCCTTCAAAGAGTTTGAAACTAACCAACCAATCATATTTGCTTTTACTTTGTTCAATATGCTCAAAGAAAATCAGAAGCCAATTATAGTCTCTCCAGCTGGCCAACAGGAAATAGAAATCATGTTGTTTAATCTGTGTTCCCACTCCCGCCTCCAATAAAATAAAATTGATTTGCTAACGCCATCCACAAATCCCTTTTGCTCTGCTGGAAAGCTATGCAAGAAGCCATAAAGATCCTAGCTGTTTTGCAGCCATTCTCTTACTACAAGCAAAAGCTCTTGAAAATGAAATGGCCCCATACTGATGGGTAAGCCGTGAATTGCCATAAGCAGATAGGCGAAATATAAATTTTCTAAATAAATAAAAACAAAGTCCATGCAGTTATTTCTGCATACAGCTAAGTTCAGAAGAGTGACACATTCTTTTTGTAGATTTATACTACTTGGAAAGGTTGGTTGCCAGAGTTTTGTAGACTATTACAAGGGATTGTCGTTGACTCTAGTTTGAAAATTGATATATTTTGGAAAAACCAAATTCTCATTTTGATTTATAGAAATTTACTAGATTAAGGTTTGAGAATGTTAATTACAAAGATAATCCACCAATGCATACCATTATAATTGTGGGGAGGGGGGGACTTTGATAGATCACAGATCATTGGTAGTTATAATGGAAACTCATGCCATAAATAGACCATAGCAGGAGAGATGGGAGATCATGCAGAACATTTGAGAAAACACATGTACAAGTTATCAAGCACCAGGGAAATCAAGAAATTCAGGCAGTTCAAATGAGTATAAAAATGTATCGCAAGTTTAAGCTCCCTACAAGAATCTGAACTACTAATGGTCAAGGGAAATTAGCAGGAGTTAAGAATAGAAATGAATTCAAGGTGGGCTGGACTTAGATCTCTTGTGGGCACGCAGGGACTCATGACTGATGAGGCATTTGACCCCTTCCCTCAAGTTCAGTTTGGTCATCTCCTACAAAATGCAGTTTAAAATTTAAAACTTATACATTTATCTGCAGCTACATGCTGAGAATAAGTCTCTCTTGCTCAAACAATAATTGTCAATGACCCACTTCTTGTAAAAGAGGAGAAATTGTAGGCCAGGCCAACCACAACTATCCTGTCTTCATAAGCTGTCTTCTGTCTCGGGTCAAATATAATGGTGGGGAAAATGTTGCAAATGGGTTCTATAACTTTGTTGATACTACCACAGGAATGAAGAACAATATTGTGCTGTTGCTACACAGCTTAATATAATTTGGAAACTGCAATAAATACAAGTCGTAAAAGTGGTCTGAAAAAATATTGGAGTAGACCGTGAAGAAAACAAAATAATTTGTCATCTGCAAGCCAGGGATTCCAGTGCAATGAAGGGAGGGGGATCATTAATTTGATAGGTCTGTTTCTATCTGAGCCTTATTTTTCCAAACTAACGAGGAACAAATTGCTCTCTGAAACACATTTTATTTTCATTTGTCTAAGGATCCAGGGTTCAGACGCCCAATTCATCTGCATGCCTCTTTTGTATGATTTGAGGTAGCAGGATTTCTAAGTTTCTAGTTCCTCACTCCAACAGCTTCTGTGCTTCTATCTCAATGGCTTTGCTGAGAGTCAATCAGGAAAAAGGAACGGCCTGTGTATGATATGCTGCATATTCTTCAGGTTGACCAAAATGGAAGAACAGAAGACTGGTAAGCAGCTGTAAGATACAAAGAAAGAACATTTCTTATCATCCATAGTGCATGGACCTTGAAGGTAGGGAAATCCCTTACACCTCAACTGAAGTGCCCCAAATGATATTGTTTAACTGAAAGTCAATTGCTAAACAGATATGCAACTTTAATTATTAGCTTTTAGCCCTTCCCTGTGACAACCAACTTCCCTGGATAGTTTGGTATCTTAATATCCAGAAAGTTTTTAGGGGTAGTCACATATAATTCTCCTGAATCAAGCAAACTTTTGGAGAACTTTTAAAAAATCTGCATGTGTTTAGAAAATGACTACAAGGAGATAGGAGTCTTCAGATTTCGGAGAGATTTTCAAAAAAGAAGGAATGGGCTTATTATTCAGGCTCAACATCAGGAGGAATTTGTTAAATATACAAGTGGAAGAGGCTGCCAAAAGAAGTCACAAGTTTTCCTTCACTAGAGTCTGGGTGGTCATTTTTAAAATATACTTTGTGGATCCTGCACTGAGCAAAGGTTTGGACTAGATTACTTCTGATATCTCTTTCAACTCTGCATCTGTAATCACGGTTACCAGATCTAGACGTATAAAAATCCAGATCATCACTAGGTGGCAGTAATAATTTAGAGCAGTGTTCCTCAAACTTGGCGACTTTAAGATGTATGGAGTTCAACTCCCAGAATGCTCCAGCCAGACATTCTGGGAGGCATTCTGGGAATTAAAGTCCACATGTTTTGAAAACGCCAAATTTGAGAAACACTGGTTTAGATACTCTGTACCTTTTTTCCTGCCATTTAGTGGTCATTCATATTTGTGCAGGCCAAACTTTTAAATTATGTTCCCTAAATAAATGCAGATACATCATTAAAAGATTCAAAATTATTGATTATTTAAGGCTTAAATAGATTTCTAAGGAAAAGCATGCAGTTCCCTGGTCCCTTGTCCCTTTTTCTGTTCCTCGAAAGGACACCACCGAATTTTGATAATGTAAATTTTATTTTAAAAGAATCAATGCAATAAACTCCCTCAAGTTTAACACAACAAATTTACTATTAATTTATTAACAGGGGCAAGATCTGAAAATTGTAATCTGTTCCTTGGCGATCTTGGTAAAATTTTTAAAAGTGTGCATTCCGTATCAGAAATTTTCCCACTGATTGTTCTGACTTTCCTTCTGTTTTGTCCCTACAAATCTTAAATTAGTGCAGCTCATTACTATATAAATTCCTTGCCTTGAGCCACCTCTTTCTGCTCCTGGGGGATTGACTTTATGTCTAGGATTAACTTTCCAAGATGTATGTGATACAAAAAAGCGGAATAATGTTAAGGCTTCAATAAACTTTCACAGTACATAAAAAAAAAAAAAAACATGAACAGAATTGAGCCATGGTAGTGCCTTAGCTTTCCCAGC